CCGGTAACGATTGCCACTGCGATACTGGCAGCAGCGCTATGTTTTTGTTACGATTTACAACCGCAAGAAAATCAAGAAGGTTATATTAAAGCTTCTGGAGTGGCGGAGAGGCTCCGCGGCTGAAGCCGACACCGCCATATTGATCAGGGCAGAAAACGGATGGGCGCAGTTTAGCGTGCATGGCTTTCGTGTTGATTTAGTGCTAGTAATGTTGCGTATCATGCTTCTAATTGAACAAGACGCTTCTGAACACGTCTGTGATCACATTTTGAGGCGACGATGTTGGGCTCTTGGGTAGTATTTGGCTGTGCGAATCGTGTGAAGCGGACACTGGGCTCAGCTTTCGATGTTTAAGTAGGCATGCTTCGCTCATTCGCTTATTCTCCCATATTTTAGCGACTATGCGACTGCATTCATAGATTTTCTTTTGGCGTCCGGGGGCACAATGACGCTAAGAATAATTTTTTGCAGGCTCTATGTTTTTGTAGGATATATATATATATATATATATATATATATATATATATATATATATATGTGTGTGTGTGTGTGTGTGTGCGTGTGTGTGTGTGTGTGTGTGTGTGTGTGTGTGTGTGTGTGTGTGTGTGTGTGTGTGTGTCATAACCTTGAGTAAGTTTTTTTTTTCTTTTTATAGTGAAAGGTGTTACGAGATCAGAACATGGGTCATGCGTAGAGCCGTGTCCGCCGCCGCCGCCACTCGTAATTAGTATCGAACAAAAAAAACTCGGTAAGTTAAGAATATCAATGACACAATGAGAGTCCAACCCGGGTCCGCTGCGTGCCAACCCAGCATTCTACCACTGAGGCGCGCCAGCGCTGGAAATTGTTTCTAAAGTGGTTTTAGGCAGGCTTGATGTCTGGAAACGAGTCGCATTAATATGAGTAATAAAGTGTTTTAGACCATCAAGGAACAGCGAGGCGTCACACAATGCGAATTTCGTGACGACTTGGTCGCCCAACGCTCCCATCCATTAAATAACTTGTTCTGGATCACCTATTAACTGTGGTGCATAACCACTTCACGCATATTTCTTCATCGTCATCAGCCACTGCATAAAAAGATGCACTAAACTTCGAACAAGTGTGTAGCGAATACCGCGCACGATTCTCCAAAGAATGGCGAAGGATAGCATAGTGAATGCTGGCCTACTACAGAAAATTTATGATTATTTAAGGCACTGTGGATACCCAGCAGTGCCCTTGTAGCAATCCAAAGAGTTTTTAGAGAAGGCTCTGAAAGACCACTCCCCAGCTTTCGCTGTGACTGTGCTGCGTGTTCCTTGCAGGTCTGGCATGTTCTTTTTTTACACGCTTGAAACGCCAAGTGTCCAAGAAAAATTAAAGCAGATGTGCATTAAAGTGCTTTCCGTGTTCCTTCGCCTACTATATAAAAATATTAAACAGGTGCTTTTGTAGCAATAACGAAACGCATGGCAAGCATCACGGCGCTTCAATGCAGGCGCCGCCTGCTTCTGCCCTGAGCAATATGGCCGCTGCGGCTTCACTTCGAGACATGGGCGGGTATGCGGGACCGCCACTCCAGAAGATTTAGTATAATGTCCTTGAAGAAAATATACCTACTCAGTGGACTGAGGAGCTGGTACAGTTTATCGGCGGTTACTGCCAGGTTTAATATCTGTTTTTCGCTCCTTCCAAAGGGTGATATCTGTTCAGGTTTTATGACGCTTCTATGCTTATTGGATAGATACGCCCACACATTTGATCATGATGCTTTTCGTGCAACACCCAGCGCAGTTGTGCGAGGGCACCACTGTTGCTCTGTCGTTAGGAAAACCTACATAACGGTTTGTCCTAAACGAATGCAGTGCGGAGAAATATTATGCTATCATATTTGTTCAGTAAGCATACGAATTTTCGAGTCTGCGTTCTCGCATAAGAGCCAGTGAAGTGCCGGCGTGTGTGACCTGCGGCTGTCAGTGAGGAGAGGCGTACCTTTGGTGGAAGTGCTTGAAGCGCGTCGCATTGATATTTGTCGCTTCTTGCGCTGCCACCGTACACAATAAAAAACGCTTTATTTACGTTAAATGATGCCGCAAGTGTGCTGTAATATCATTTTTACTCGTCAAATTTGTGTTTTATGAAACCCAGAAGCACCGATAACACTTGTACGGGCTCGGTCGGTAGGACTACCCTTCGGTGGAAATCCTGGTGATAGAACAGAAGGATGAAAGTTAAAAACGCTGGGGCTCATCTCAACGCATGTCAAAAGTGAGCGTTTATGTATGTTGGCACGCATTTTGTTAACCTAAAAAGACAGCTCACACAATAGCGTATGCTAGAATTGCCACAGTTGCATTTCTAGCGTGGCGACATCAAGTGGCCGTGGTGTTCTGCTCTCAAATTGAAAGAGCTATTGCGAACTGGAGTTCATTTATTTCTTGACAACTGCGCATCGATGTAAGACATTTTTTTGTGACTGTTCACAGTGACATTTCTAGTCTTCTAAACATCACAACAAAGAACCACATCGCGGATGTCTAACTGTTCTAATTAAGTGCGCGATATGTAATTATATTCACGGCCGCATATTCTATGCTCTACCAATATTGAAGGTTTCTTTACACCACAAGGATGAAAAAATAAACGTGTTAGAAAGCGTAATGAGCAGCATTGGTTTCTTTTGACCGTAAACAAACATCTCTGCGCTTTCAAAAACGAAACACTACAAGTCAGTAATTTCACATACTGGGATGTGCTTTTTCATCATGCCACCATCATCCGTCAAGCTTCCATCACGCCACCGTCATCCACCTTGCTCACCATGCCTTCCACCAAACACGTTTTGCCTTGCCACCATCAGCCGGCATTTTCCACCGTCACCCCCCTTGGCTCACCACCCCCACCCCCACCATCTGCCATCATTTTTTCTACTCCACGCCGTCATCAGCCGTTATGTCCACTACAGTTTCTACCATATCCACTAATATTTCCACCATATCCACAATTCGTTCCACCATATCCACCAACGATTGCAGCATTCACCTATCCTTTTCAGTAGGGTTATTTAGGCACAATTGACTCTTTTCGTAACCGGGAGCCCCAAGCGCCCATTACGTGAACTACTCCTTTCCACCATGTATAGGGCGCCGGAGCAGATGACGCCATTAGCGTTTCATGTAGATGCAGACGCCACTCAGCGTTTGAGGTACACGTAAGGAGGCGGGAATTCTCGTACGCTCAGAAACTTGAAGTCACAACGGGAAAATAAATGAAATGCGAAAATCTTACCGGTGTGAGCAGCGTTCTGTCTCAAATAGCTCAACAAAGAAAACAACGGAGAAATTTATATATTTTTTACGTTGAAAATACGGGCGCTATATTGGAACGATTTTAACTGGTGGTAGGATGCACGTATGAAGCGCGTGCACACACCACCTGCCCCATACATGGCGGCTTCTCTCCCAGAACCCTTTGCAAATTATAACTCACTGAAAACTCACCGTCAGGTGCCGTATTTGTGAAAAGGGTCTAATATAAAGTGTATGACTGACTTTAAAATACAGTTTAGACACCTCTGAGCCTAACTCAAGCATTTCTCAGTGTTCACGGTGCCCGCAAAAGGAGCGACGACGGCCGGTGTGCCGTGCTTTCAGCAACTCAGACTGTCACCGAAATCTTCCTTCCAAGCGGAGTAGCCGGTACTTCTCTGACTCGTATGTAAATACACGCCATTTAGCATTCGTAATTTGGAACGCCTTAGTGATTCGAAAAACTGGCATACTTTTCCAGTGGATAGCATTAGTATATTCTTCGATGGAGTCTTAGTTGCAGGTATAGATATAACTGGAATTATGTACAATGGCACGCCGGATGTATACTGCTATATTCTCACTTGCGCAAGAAATGTACTCAATATTGAATCGGGTGCCCACATATGTACCGAACAAGCCATTTTGAATCACCTAAGCATTTTGAGCAGTAACAAAGTGCGCGAAGCGACTATTAAAGAAAAAAAGGTATAGGCAGCGATAGCCAACAATCTGTGGCTGCAGGACGCCGATAAGTCCCTTGAATGTATTGCTCGACTTTATTGGGGAGTACGTTGAATATTGTAGGGACAACGATGACGGCACCTCACACTGTATTTCCGTGGCGTCCAGGATTACTCGAGTCGATGAATCATTTTCCTTAAACTCAAAAGGCATTCTAGCATCTACAATTCTTTTAGGAGCCCACAGAGGTAGCAGGCCTAGTTTGGCATAGAGGAAGTTAATCCACTATGTGCATACTCGGGACAAAGTTCACTGGGCAATGAAACCTGTGAGCCGAATCATCTTCAAAAAAGCCGAGGCGCAGTAAGACTAGCACCAAAAACAGCTAATTTTCCGTGCTTAGTTTTCTCTTCCACCCTCGCAATGATATGGGTTCGCTGATTTCTGCTCGTTCTGACAGTAGAACATTGCACCCATAATCACCGGGGTTCAAGTAGACCAGAAGTTTCTTAAAGTGGTCGTAGCTTGGCAGCCCAGTGTAAAATATCATGTCTTCGTCGCAATCCTTGAACCAATACTGCGAATCTCTTTCAGCAGCAAGCTGACAACTCAAGGACGCCTTTTCTAAGCCCAGTTGCCCGATGATTCCTTTTGCAGCAACAAGCTGCTCCTTGATTTGGCAGCATCTTCTGAGAGCCGCGCGATTTTGTTGTTTTTCTGTTTTATTGTTTCGGCCAAACGTGCATTTTCACCTTCAAGTGAGCTGCTGAGCCTAGTGAGTTCCTCTAAACCTACTGGTGCTGCCTCCACTTCCTCCGGGCTATGCATAGGCTCATCGCCTAGCACTCCTGGGCCTAAAGCCGGGTTTTGGCTTCTTACTTGAGGTGACACACGTGGTTTGGGGGGCTTCCGTTTTTTTTTGTTTTCTTTGGAAAAAGCAAAAACAGACAAAACTGCCAAGTCCCGAAGGAGGCTGCGGCCACTCCCAACGCTAAGTATAAAGCCAGATGACATAAAATGCTTGGATCAGACCTTTGCTGACTTGCCGACTTGAAATTCCGGGCCGTCATCCCGCTTGATCGCCACAATACACTTCTTGTATGTCATTGCGTCTTTCGGAAAGCGGTGGAAGGATACCTACAAGATATAAGCAAACAAACATTCAGTGCGACGTCATGAGCTAGGTTTCTCTTAGCTGTTTAAACGATTCTTGTTTACAAACACAGGCACTAACACCAATTCATCTCACAGGGAATAGAGGTCACAGTTATATGTGCATTGAAGGACTAATGATGCACTTGTAATGTGACCCCCCCCCCGTTCAATTTTTTTCTGTGCTCAACGCAATTGCTCAGCAAACCGCACAAACCGAACAGTTGAGCATTGCATTATCTCAGCTCACAAAAATGGTCGCGACGCTGCAAACGCGCATAGACAACATCAAAATGTGACTTCCGGGCGCAGTGGGTCGCCCAGTACGAACGACTGGGAAACCGTACTTTAGGCCGTTACCCGACGAAGAGGGGCAGGATCAGCCGGACGGCAAATCATAACACGTACAGTCACCATGGCTCGACACGAAACCACACAAACACAACGCCCACAACAGCATAGCACACGGAACACGTTCACTATCTGGCAGTGGAACTGCAGGGGGTACAGGAGGAAACGGGCGCTTCTCCAACAATTCTTACGTAGCCGGCAACGACTGGGCGTAATACTATTGCAGGAAACCAATGACCCGGTCAAGCTGGCGGGGTACAAATCTATAGACGAAGCTGTGACCGCGGGAGCCCCACCGGCCGCTGCAACGCTAGCGCGACGCAACCTCACCGTGGCGCAACGCGAACTTATGAACGTTAGCATACCGCATGTACTCATAGAGCTCATCCCGACGAAAGGGCGCGGCCCCGGCCTGTTTGTGATGAACGTGTATAGCAGACCCAAAGCCAGACACCGCTTTAGCACGTTACTGCGAGAGGCGCGCGAGGCAGCTGCCGATGGGCCCTTGCTCATCGCGGGCGACTTCAACGTGCCCCACGCGGCGTGGGGCTACGGCTACGAAACGCCAAAAGGTAAGCGCCTTTGGGACGATGCGCAGAATGAGGGCCTCGAGCTCATGACAGACCCTTCCGCGCCTACGCGCAGGGGCAACAGCATATGTGCAGACACCTCACACGACCTCACATTTACCAAGAACGTTGCTGGCGCGCGATGGCACAATACACAGGAGGACCTGGGTAGCGATCACTCAGTGATCGAGATCCAGGTCGACGCTGAACCTCACCACCGCGTTCATCGGGAAGGTACCAAGGGCAAGAACCACTGGTTGGTGGATTGGGACGCGTTTCGCAAAGTCCGGAAAGAGCAGAATCGTGGCAGTGCGGCTATTGAGAATATAGATAGCTGGACTGTGACGCTCAAGGGTGATTTAGAAACGGCAAATCGGGAGGTTCCACCAGAAACACAGCTTGAAGTGGTAGACAGCAAACTCCTACACATGTGGGAAGCCAAGCGCAGCCTGCAAGACAGGTGGAAGCGTCAACGCCACAATCGAACGCTGCGCAGACGCATAGCACGGCTAAGCAGGGACATGGAAGAGCACGCGTTACAGGTATGCAAAACGCAATGGGAAGAGATCTGCAATGGGATGGAGAACAAGATGGGACGGGCCAAGACGTGGCGTCTTCTGCGGCCCCTCTTGGATCCGAAGGAGACGAAAACATCGCACGCACATAAGCTTAACAAGTTGCTGCACGACTACAAACGCACCCACGCGGACTTTCTAGATGACGTGCGAAGCCGTTACTTTCAGTCACGTAGCCCCCTCGCGCACTCGGCATACGCCTGGGAGGGTGAGGGTAACGCGGAGCTAGACGTGGACTTTAGCGTTGCAGAGGGGAGGACGGTGCTGCACAGGCTCAACACAAAGTCGGCGCCAGGCCCGGACGGGATAACCAACAAAGCGCTACGTAACATGGACGATGAGTCGATAGAACAAATGACGGCTTACATGAACGAGTGCTGGAATGCGGGCGCTATACCGAACTCGTGGAAAAGGGCGCGCATAATTATGGTCCCCAAACCGGGCAAACGAGTACAGATTGACAACCTTCGACCGATATCCCTGACGTCCTGCGTTGGTAAGGTCATGGAACATGTGGTTCTCGCTCACCTTACCAACAACCTCGAGGACCGAAACTTGCTCCCACACACGATGCTGGTGTTCCGTCGTAACATTTCCACGCAGGACGTTATGCTTCAACTCAAGCACGATATCGTAGACAATCTCGCACGATCCACCAAAGCGATACTCGGGCTCGACCTCAAAAAGGCGTTCGAGAACGTTAGCCATGCTGCGATACTTGAAAGTATACGAGCGTTGGGACTGGGCGACAGAACGTACCACTACCTACGGGATTTTCTTACGGGCCACAGCGCCCGATTAGCGATCGGCGGACTAGAATCGCAAGAGATATACATGGGTTGTACGGGCACGCCGCAGGGCTCCGTAATATCGCCCATGCTCTTTAACCTCGTGCTTGTCGGATTACTAAGAAAACTCGCTGAGATAGAAGGCCTGGCCTCCACCATAGCTTGTACGCCGATGATGTCACCCTCTGGGTTGCCGAGGGAAATGATGACCGCGTAGAGAAAACGCTGCAGGAAGCCGTCGACGTGGTGCAGGACTACCTTCGCGACACTGGCCTCGAATGTTCCGCCGCTAAATCGGAGCTCCTGCTCTATAGACCCTCGCGCAGGGGCCGCAAACCCAAGAACGCCGATTCCGCATTCGAGTGCGCATATAGAGAAATAAATGTACGCACATCAGACGGCGCTGTCATCCCACAAGTTAACACCATTAGAGTGCTGGGCTTGCGCCTGTCCGCCAACGGCCACAACGGCGAAACCATTCGCAGACTAGAGGGCGCGGTCAATGAAACAATCCGGTTGCTGAAACGAATAACAAATCAACATAGCGGAATGAAGGAAAGCAATACCATTCGCCTGGTACATGCTTTCGTTATGAACCATATAACGTACGTCGCCTCCTACCTGAAGTGGCAGGCGACTGAACGCACCAAACTAGATTGTCTCATCCGCAAGGCGTACACACGCGCAATCGAATTACCGGCCAATACCAGCACGGAAAAATTTCTCGAGCTGGGGTTGCACAATACTCTAGATGAGATAATTGAAGCACACAACATCGCCCAGTACGAACGTCTGGCGAAGATCAGAACTGGTCGACACATCCTCGAGACACTGGGTATCAACTACCATGCGCAGGGCGGCGAAAAGGTCGGGATACCCAGACGTGTTCGCGAGCGCATCGTCGTTCTGCCGTTGCCTAAGAACATGCACCCGACACATCACATCGGTCGGCGCAACAGGCGCGCCCAAGACCTTGAAAAGAAATTCGGCAATCGCGGTTGCAATCACGGATCATGTAGGAACTTGCGTCACGAGTGCGACGATAGGCACGGAAGAGACGGCGGTGGCCGAAGAAGCTGCCATAGCCCTCGCGATAGCCACCATGGACGCCGAGGTGATAATAGGTGACTTGCAGGCGGTGATACGCAACTACGCCAGCGGCCGGATCTCCTGCGAAACGGCCCGCATTCTTCAAATTCACGAACGGAACATCTGCCGCGAAAACGACAGTTTCCTCGTATGGACCCCCGCCTACACGGACCCTCCGCTTGCGGGCAACGCGACTGCCCACGACGCGGCTCGAGGACTCACACGCCGAGCTGGGACGCCTGCCGACAGTCCCGATGTCTCGCACACTTCGACAGCGATGTGGGAATAGACGTGGGGGGATCGTATGACCACTTTCAGAGACATCACGCAACACTACAGACTGAACAGATGCAAATATCCACCACCCCACGCCAAACTAAGCAAGAAACAGCAGGTCGCCTGGAGACAACTACAGACACACGTACCCGAATCCGGTGATCCTTCGCCTCTGCTACCCAGGCATATATACGTCCGACGCGTGTAAGGTGTGCGGAGCCAGAGTTACGCTGCAGCACATGCTGTTGAAGTGTACCGGTAACACGCAGCAGTCCCCTACGAACCCGGTAGACATGGCAGTGTCGAACCGCGAGGCGCGATGGGAGGCGGCTCTGCTCAGCCACGACTTTGCCGATCAACTGTGGGCCGTGCGGCAAGCCCAAGATGCCGCCCGGGTCCAAGGACTCGAGGCCGTCACCTAGGCCGGGATGCTTGTAGCCCCACCCCGCTTAATGACGCCGGACATGTTTAATAAAGTTTTTACTCACTCACTCACTCCCGTTTCCTAGCATTCTTTCCTAGATATGGCCCTTCACAGCAAGCCTTAAGAGGCATTAGTCACTTGTTGACACTCGGGGGAATTCAAATCAGTTAGTTTTTATATTGTTGCGCACATGCACGAAGACAAAGAAGTGTTTACGGTGAACGCACTTGTGGCCCAGAGCCAGAAAGAAAGAAGAAGATCAGGAGGATCTCTAACCAGTCGGCCGCTTCTGAGCCACCCCTGACGACCTAATAAACAGCCCCTTTCAACCTCTACTAGGCTCTTTCAAACGTAACAGAGTGCTAGAGGAACTGGGTAAGCATTTCAACTACCAAACGATCACTGCCACAGCTTCGACGAAGCCTTCAACTTGCCGGTCTCCCACCATCTGCCGTGAGTGACTTCGACATGCCCCAAGAAGCAGTCGTTTCCAGCACTGCACCGTCTGGTCCGCTTCCGTACTACCGAGTTCCACCACCCTTCGGAGGAAAAGCCGAAGAAGATGTCGACGCCTGGCTCACCAAGTACAAACGTGTGGGCAAGTCCGACGGTTGGGAAGCAGCCGCTATGCTAGGCACTGTAGTGTTCTCCCTGACCGACACCGCACTGCTATGGTACGAGAACCACGAGGATGCACTCACGACATGGGATCTTTTTGTTGAAGAGCTCAGGTCGTGTTCCGGCGAATCGGTTGCTAGAAAGAAGCGGGCTGAGCAAACAGTGTCGCAACGGGCACAGCTACCAGGTGAAACATGCACCACCTAAATAGAAGAAGTGTTAAGGCTGCGCAAGGTAGTCTGCGCTACCATGTTGGAAAAGAACAAAGTTGGGTGTCTGCTCAAAGGGATTGCTGAGGATGTGTATAATTTTCTCATTGGAAAAGAAAGCCTCAGTTCTGTGTCCAACGTCATTCAGCATTGCCGAATATTTGAAACGCTCAAGATGCGTCGAATTGCGCCCAAGTTTGGTCGGCTGGCTAACGTTACAACTGTTGCCAGTGTGGACACGAATCGTGGCCTCGACCTTTTTTCTATCATTCGACAGATTGTTCGTGCGAAACTGTCCCACCGAGAAATGTCCTGTTCAACAGCTGGCCATCGCGAGTTGTGTCTGCCACGTGAGGCTATGGATGTGCCTCCTTTGACCCCATGGCAACAGAAGATGAGCGCGGCAACTGTGGAGTACAGCCCAGCCCCACAGTCAAGGATGACAACCAGATTTTCCGCGTCGTGGTATGACCGACGCCCTC